CAGAACAAGCTGTCCCCTTTCTCCCTTTGAGCGGAGAGTTGGTTTTCTGCATCAGCAGACACAGGGAACTTGTAAGGACACTTGTCACCAAGCAGGTACCCAGAAGGCAGACGTTCTGGGTAACAGTGATTAGTGGCTGTTACCAGTCCCAAATCCCAGGGAGTTTTGAGGGATGGTTTTTCAGAAAACTCCCAAATCCAACCACCTCTGGACCCCAGGACATGAGCGACTGGCAAACCTCAGGCTCCTGTTGACTTGTCTGGGGTGCGGGGACCAGACTGGAAATGTGACAGCTTGGATCAGAGTTGTAAGTCAGGGGTGGGGAATGACAGAATCTGACAGCCAAAGGGAGTCCAGTCTAAGAGGATTAAGACATGGAGTGTCAAGTTGTGATGTCACCACGAGGGTCAGAGCCCACATGTCACCTGCTGTGGACCAGATAAGCCCTTGTCGCCACATCCCCAGGCAGCAGAATCCAGCGGGTAGAGGGGGTTGTTTGGAGACAGAGATGACAACTTGGAGCCAGGACATAAATACAGACAGGGACCAGGCCAACCCTGAGATCCCCATCCTGGGAGCCCATCATAGATGGGCAGCTCTGTCTTGGGCTAGAGAGACTCTGCACTTAGTGTTCACAGCTTAGTCCCCGCAGTGTGGACCAGAGAGCTGGGTGACGAAGCTATGGTGGGACTGGCCTGACCACCACAGATGTTTCGGTCACTGTTGATGCGGGTGACCGCCATGCAGCATAGACACTGCGCTAACCAGCAGTCCTTCCATGGCACTACCAGCCGCCAGAGGGGAACAGAAAGCAGAAGTCCTCATCAAGACATATCCATTTATGTTGAACCTTTTAAAAATATTATACTTGATTTATTTAGAGTGTGACTGTGTGCATCGATGCTCACGCCATCATACGCTGTGTTGAGAATGTGGAAGTCAGAAAACAGTTTGTGAAAGTTGGTTCTCTTCTTCCGCGTGCACAAAAGTTGGTTCTCCTTCCTAGCGAATGGACTCCATCATCAGACTTGATGCAGGCAGTGATGCAGGCTCCGGGTTTAGTGAGAGATCCAGACTCAAGAGGCCACGTGGAGCTGTTGAGGTGGCTCAGTGGCTAAAGGCACTTTGTGGGGATCTCAAAGAAAATGGTCCCCAAAGGGAGAGGCACCATCAGGAGGTGGAGGAAGTGTGTCACTGTGGAGGCGGGCTTTGAGGTCCCATAAACACTCAAGATATCACCCAGTGTCTCAGATCACTTCCTGTTACCTACAAGATGTAGACTTCTCAGCTACCTCTCCAGCACCTTGTCTGCCTGCACACTGCCATGTTCCACCATGATGATAATAAACCAAACCTCAATCCAACCCAATTAATTCTCCTTTATAAGAGTTGCCATGGTCATGCTGTCTCTTCACAGCAATAGAAACCCTAAGACACCCTTGCTGCCAAGCCTGACCTCCCTGACTTCAGTTCCAGAACCTAGGTGGTGAAAAGGGAGAACTGACTCCCACGAGCTGTCTTCCTACCCCTGCGTGTGCCCCGTGCATGAACAAATGTGCACATGTACACATGCAGGCGCTCACACGCGCGCACGCACACACACTCACACGTGCGCGTGCACACAGGATGCACGGGGACAATTCCTTAGCAAGTGGCATGAAAAGAATTTCTAGAGTGTAGATAGTGCTCCAATCTTGGTTGAGGTTGGATTGTACAGATGTGTCACCTTCCAGAGCTCCCAGAGCGATCCACATTTCCCTTGCGCGCGCGCACACACACACACACACACACACACACACACAGGGACCATCAGCAAATACTAAGTCCTGTTACCAATGTCATACTGATGTTTGGGGCTCACTGCGAACTTCATCAGAAGTCAGACTGGGGCAGCCTCATGGGCCAGAGGATGGCTTCTCTGTCCAGCTCTCCTCACTTTCTGTGACGTGTGAAATTTTGCATGGTTAAACGAGTTTGGGAAATACCTGCTTCCCTATCTCCCTTCTGTCTCTCTCTCTCCCATCTCCCTGTCTACCTGTCTCCCTAGTGTCTCCATCTTCCTCCCAGCCTCTGGTGTCCCATTGTCAGGTACCACAGTTAAAACAGTACAGAGGCCATCTTTGTCTTACAGCATCCTGTGCTTTGTGCGTTACTTGTTCCTCCGCTGAGTGAGCCCTGGGCTGTAGTCCCAGGCTGCGGCAGTGGGGCTGCCTCAGTCTCTGAGTGAAGGCTGGCCCTCTGCCTCTGCCCTTTCTCCCCTACACTCTGCTGCCCACGAGCAGGAATGGGTCTGCAAGAGTTTGACTCCCAAACATCCCCGCGGTGCATGTGTTAAGGTGCGATCTCCAGCTGGTGCTGCTGGCTGGGGGAAGCAGTGGGAAGAAGTTGGGAGAGATGTCCTTGAGGGGGAGGTTGGAACCATGGTCCTTCCTCCTCTTCTCTGCTTCCTGCCAGCCATAAAGTGAGCAGCTTCCTCTTTCGCAAGTTCCCATCATGCCCTGCTGCTCTGCCTCAGACCCCAGTTGGACCCCAGACTTTGAACTGAAACCTTCCAAACTGTGAACCTGGACGAATCAAGTCTCGCCTCTTTCTACTCTGATGGTCTCAGGGATGCTGCTGCCCACACTCAAGACAACATTTCCACTCAGCTTGTCCTGCGGGAACACCCTCGCAGACACGCCTGGAGGCGCACTCACCAGTGGCCTAGTGACTCTAAACCCAGTCACGCTGACCGTGAAGACAAGCCGTTGCAGAGTACCCTGCCCCATCTGTGTTGCCTGAGTTCTGCTCTCATCCTACGCCTCCTTTCTAGGTGGCTCTTGGGGTGACCCACTCACCACAAAGAGGGTGCTGAGACACTGCTGGGGTCCTGGTGATGGCTTGAAGGATAAACTGGACCCTTAAAGGAGGGGATGGGACCAGCATTGGAGGCTGGGAAGCAGCTAGGAGTTGGAGGAGCAGCAACTGAGGATGTGGACCCATTTTTATTACCTTTAATAAAATCTCCAACTCTGCTTCAAACAGGATATGCCTGGAATTCTTTTCTTCATCAAAGCCATGAACCCTGATTTTCCTGAATTGAGGCCCCAAATAAGATTAAAGGAACCCCTTAGGCCTCAAATAGGATTAAAGAAACCCCTTAGGCTAGTGAGGGCATTGGCGGAGTTGGCCACAGAGAGCCGTGGAGACAGGGCAGCACACGGCCTGGAAGCGCTGCCCCCATCAGTGTCTTGGCAAGCACTCAGCACACACCAGCTGTGTGGGAAGGGACCAAGGGCACAGTGATGCCAAAGCCTCACTCCTGCGGTCTGTGAGGGAGACAGACACACAGAAATAAAAGCCAGATGAGTGACATTTTTCCTATGCTTGCTTAGGTAACCAGAGCTCAGGAGTTGGGGAGTGCGTTCTGTCTTGGAAGGGACAGCCAGAGGGGGCAAGTCTTAGGCTACAAGAAAGTCAGGGAGAGCCAGGAGTGTCCCCACTTTCCCTCTCTTTCAGCTCCCTCCCAGCACCATGGAAGAAGTATTCTGTCGGATCAGGTCCAAGGCTCCTCTTGCAGACGCCCAATTTACACACACACACACACACACACACACACCATACCAGACACTTTTCTGCTTAGCAGGTAACCAGGACCCCAGACCACCACTGCATTCCATAACCAAGTACCCAAATGCTGACCTCCAAACCAAACAATGCCATACTTGCCTGAGCTTGGAATTGAGGTTGGGGTTGCCATCAGAAGGTGTGGTGGGGAGGGCCTTGCTCACCCTCTGCCCTGGAGCTGGCCAATGGGGGCCCTGCAGAGAACTTGCAGTGTGAGCGTCCCAGGGACACCCAGGGGTCCTAAGGTGCCCAGGCCTCCAGCAGAGTCAGGCTGCTGCGTTGGGTGCCTCCATTTCTGAGTGCCTATCACCCAGGTGCCCGTGGTGCCAGTGACCTGGTTAGCGTGAGAATTAAATGAGATGAGATCGGCAAGGTGCTTAGCCCCTGACAAGTGCCACCCGAGTGTTTTTAAATAAAAAGGGAAGTGCTTAGTAAAGTGTATTTTAGAATCACTGTCGTCCGTGTAATTGTGTTTAAAATGTTCCCTCGGAAAGGGCCTGCCCCCTTTAAGAATGACTGAGAAGAAACCGCTTCTGTCAGCACAAAGCCGAAGACTAGGAGACAAGGCTGGAGAGGCCGAGGATTTAATGAGCCCAGCCAGGAAGCCTGAGCAGGTGGCCCTAATTGGGGGCACCAGCGGGACTGTCCCATCTCACCCCACCCCAGGCCTGGCCCTCCCAGGCTGAGGAAGCCTCGGGGTCAGCCTTGGAATGCTGGCATCTGGTACGAACAAGGTCAGACTGCAAACGAGGCAGAGAGAAGCTGAGCTGCTGTGAGCAAGGCGGGGTGAGTGACAGCAGGAGCAGTTTGAAGTCAGCAGGCAGCTAGCAAGTACAGGCTCACACCTGTCAAACCCAGGCTCGGCAGGCACAGGCAGGAAGGAATCATGGGAGTTGGAGGCGTGGGCTACATAATGAACTCTAGACTAACTTGGGCTACCCAGAAAGAAACTGTCTCCAAAAAATCCAAAAAGAAATGAGGGGGTGGGGGTGGGGCATGGGGCGATGGCTCAGTGGGTAAAGAGTCGGTGGACATCCATCCCCAAGTCCCCTGGGATGGGGGAAAGAACTCTGCATGCTAGCCTCTGACCTCCACATTTGTACTGTTGCAGGAACACACCCAAACCCACCACAAACACAAAATAAAGAAAATGATTTAAAATTTTTATAAATGATAGTTATGGTAGTGCATGTCCAAAATTCCAAGGCCAACTTGATTGACTGAATGAGATTCAGTCACAAACAAAACAGGAGGGAGGGAGGGAGTGAGGGAGGGAGGGAAGAAGGGAGGGAAGAAGGGAGGAAAGAAGGGAGGGAGGGAGGGAGGGAGGGAGGGAGGGAGGGAGAAAAGAGGGCTAGACTGTCCTGGACCAGAAGAGTCAGTATTGCTAGGGTGTCGGATTTCTCTAAAAGGATCTGTAGCCAGGTCTGGTAAGCAAGTTTGTGACCCCATCACTCTGGGAGCCGAGGCAAGTGAGATACTTCCAGGTCCACCAGTGCTAAGTAGTGAGAGCCTGTGCCACAAAAACCTAAACAGGAAGATAAAAATGTCTGGATGTCAGCAGTACTCTGTGTAGACAGAGCAGCCTGCTGTGACGTCAGGGCTGCGTGGGGGGCAAAGCGAGGGCTTAGCATGGTGGGAGTCAGGACTACATGGGGGGGGGGAAGGTGGGAGCGAGTGCTTAGCATGGGGCAGGAGAGTCAGGACTGCATACTCAAACACTCCTGAAAGTGGAAAGTACCTCAGAGCCAAGACAACCACAGAAAGGCTAGCAAGATGGCTGGACCAGCAGAGCCCTGGGTTCCATTCCCAGCATCACAGAAATTTGGGTGGAGGTGCAGGCCTGTCATCCCAGACTCGGGAGGCGGAACTGGGAGAATCAGAAGTCCTCAATTCATGGGCTGCATAGGGAGTTTGAAGCCAGCCTAAGACCCCGTCAATAAATAAATCCCTCAGCCTGTGTTCCTCTTCCATTTCTGGAATACTCCTAATGCTTTCACACCCTATTGACTAGCTCCCCTTCCCAGCGTCTTTCTGACCACCATAACACCACAGACCAGAGCCTCTTCCCCTTCAAATCCCGACTGGTATGTCCCAGGTCCTGAAACAGTGGGTAGCCCTCACTGGGGCCACAGTAGCAGGTGGTATGGAAGGGCCCCGGAGGCCTGCTATGGCCGTCTCATCCCTGACAGCTGGCCCAGGGCTCTCTTATCAGGGACTTCAATCTGGGGGCTGCTGCTAGGGGCCCACACTGAGAATCTGCAGATACCCAGTAGGGGACTCCCAGTGTGGAGGTGGGGGAGTCACTGACTCACATGGAAGGGGTTTATATAAAGTGAGTCTCCCCAAAGAAGCCAGAGCTAAAGTATGGATCTCTGCCAATCTGAGGGGCCTCCCAGCCTCCTCCAGCCCTACAAGGAGGTGGATTTTGGTTAGGGAGCCCAGGTACAAAGATGTCGCCCTAGGCCTTAGCCACAAAAGCAGAGTGGGAATTTGAACCCAGGTACTGTGGGCCCTCCTCAAATACAATGGTCAAGTATACACGCACCAGCTGAGCATGCGCAGACACCTACCTATGTGTCCACCTGCCTCGGGAGCCTTGAGGTTCGGGGGCTCTTGGAAGAGGATGCATGAGGTCTGTAGATGAGCCAAGCCACGGGTGCGGACAAGGGTCACTCTGCGAGGGGGGGATTGGGGTCCTCTCCTGATTGAACCCCGCCCCGAAGGGGTTGCAGTGGGCTTGGGAGAGCAGCGTTGCGGTCTCCATAGCTACGTGCAAGGGCGGTGGGCGCATCTGTGGATTGATCCGGCTCAGTCAGATTCAATCCCGAGCGAAAATGGATTTTTTAATGCGTCTATTAGCTGCTTTGAAAACGCAAATTGAGTTCAAGAGAGACAGACTCCACCATCAGAAAACAATTTGGCGTCGGAAGGCCCAATGGCCAGGACACCCAGCACGGGCAACGCCCCTGCAAGCCTGCAAGTCGCCTTGTGAGGGGTCAAGGAGGCCACACTGCCGGCCACCCAGTCCTCGGGGTTGTTGTAGCTGCATCGTGGACAGTCTGCTGCAGAAATGAGCCAACTTCCCACCAGAAGAAAGCAGGTTTCTGGGACAGTTCTGGAAGGCGTCCTGGAGTTGGCAGTGCCTGAAAGCCTTTGGGAAATGAGCCCAGCAAGCCCTTCCCCGCTCCTTCAGTTTGCAGAAGGTGGCCTCTCCGGTGGTAGTCTCACAGCCCACGTGCAGCCAGGCCCTGGGGGCACACTGCTCTGTGTCGGGGCACCTGTTGCCCACAGCCGACCAGACAGGGCAAAGGCGGGACTCTCCAGTCCGTAGATCCCCCTCTTCTGGAGGAAGTGCCTGGACCAGACGGGCCCCTCAGCCCTGAGGTCAGAGGCACACTTCCTTCCCTCCATTGTCACTCTTTGTCTGCAGCCTTCTTTGCATATGCAAATGAGTTCATCCTCCCGCAATTACACAGTAATCAGGAGCAAATTACCTTCTTGCTGTTTACTTTCAGCGTCCTTAATTAATCCGGTTATTAGACGATTAATGGAGCTTGTTTGGTGAGAAACTCATAGCAAGAATGGAGAAGGCTGCTGTGGTTGAGGGGAACGTGTCTGTGTGTGCATGTGGCTGGGGGGGGCTGTTCATGTGGGAGTGCGTGCGTGCGTGCGTGTGTGTGTGTGTGTGTGTGTGTGTGTGCGTGTGTGCGTGTGTGCATGTGTGTACGCACGGGGGGGTGTGTGTGTGTGTGTGCGCGCGCGCGCGCTCGCGCGCGCGTGCGCGCGCATGTTCACACAAGAGCGCATTGGGGATAGACGAGAAAGGATTGCCCTGGGTTTTCTGTCCTCATGAGCCCTTCTCAGCCTCTCTTCTATCCCCCATCCCCAGTCTCCTCCCTTACCCCACTCATCACCCCTCTCCTGGAACCTTTGAGGATCAGGCAGGCAGCCCCACCATCCAGCCCCTGGACAGCAGAGGCTCCAAGAGGCCTAAGGTCCTGGAGATAGGACTCAGGCTTCTCTGCTCCCCAGAGCCCACACTGGTACCCAGAGAGTATGGCACGCTGCGTGGGTGACCTGCCTCTGCACGGGTAATTGTGCCTTGTGTGCACTGACTTGGGAACTAGCAGTCAAAGATGAATATAACTTCTGGTCCTCCTGGCAGGTGCGCCTCACTGCCTGGTTTGTCTGACTTTGAAGATAGCTTTCTCGGGTACCAGCGAGATGGCTCAGTAGGTAGAGGTGCTTGCAGCTAAACCTACTAATCTGAGTTCAGTCCCTAGGACACAATAGCGAAGGAAGAAAATCAACCCTGCTAGTTGTCCTCTGGCCTCTATATCCACACACGCACAATTGTTAAAAAGAGAGAGCGCATCCTCTTGGGTTCTATAGCTCACAGTGATGATTTTAGCTCTGGGTTTCTTTGATTTTCTATTAGAATCCCTCCACCTCCTCAGTGTGTCTTTTTTCTTAAAAAATTAGCTCTGAAAAGTTCCTCATCAATATATACCATTAAATATCACCTCTCGGGGCTGGAGAGATGACTCAGAGATTAAGAGCACTGGCTATTCTTCCAGAGGTCCTGAGTTCAATTCCCAGCAACCATCTGTAATTCTATCTGATCCCCTCTTCTGGCATGCAGATAGAACACTGTATAAATAATAAGTAAATAAAATTAAAAAGCAAACCTCACCTCTCCCAAATCTCCTGATGTCTTAGAACTCGTTCTCTGTCCCATGCCTCCCGTTGTTTCTGCTTCTCTCTGTGTGCTCGTTTATAGTAATGATTTCTTCCCTTCTGTTCCCAGTTCCCCAGTTCTCTCTTCAACCGTGTCTAATATGCGGTCTGACCCTTTGGCTGGGCTCTCAGTTTCTGAGTCTCATGGCTCCTTTTCATATTTGCCTAGCGAGATGACTTACTTACCTCTATCTGCTAGAAGTCGCCTAGCAGATCCATCTTGGTTTGTTGTAAATGCGTTTCCAGAGAGTTTCACTGAGAAGATCTGTCCCGAGTGTGGGTGGCACCCGTGGGCCAGGATTTCAGAGTGAATAGAGAGGAGACAGCCAGGTAGCAGCAACATCTGGCTGTCTCTTCTTCCTGCCTGGAGGTGCAGTGTGACCAGCACCTCCCACTCCCACCACCACGATTCTCCACCCTGAGCTGTGAGCCAGGAAAAACCTCCTGGGAAGCATGGTGGCATACAGGCAGACAAGGTGCTGGAGAAGCAGAAGGAGCTAAGAGTTCTTTCATCTTGACCAGAAAGCAACAGGAAGTGGTCTGAGACACTGGCTATGGCTTGAGCATATATGAGACCTCAAAGCCCACAGTGACACACTTCCTGCAAGAAGGCCACACCCACTCCAACAAAGCCACATCTCCTAATAGTGCCACTCCCCATGAGCTTGTGGGGACCAATTACATTCAAGCTACCACAGGTTGGGAAGCTCTCAGCACTGCTCTCCAGGGCTGTGCCTGTCTGCTTCCACCACGATGCTCACAAGCTAACCTTCTGATACCATAAGCCAGTCCCCAGTTAAATGGTTTCTTTTTAAGACTCGTCTTGGTCATGCTGTGTCTTCACAGCAATAGAGCGGTAACTAAGACAGTCGGGATTTTATCAGAGCAAGAAGACAAGTAATTAATTCACCCAACTTTCCTCAGAGCCACCTTATTGAAGCTTTAAACACAGCATTCTAAGTAAATATGCACATAGTTTGGACCTGGAGATAAATCTTCCTTTTTGAAAAAATGTAAGCAATTGTTTTGTTATATGTATGGATGTTTTAGCTGCATGTTTATCTGTGTACCATGTATGTTCCTGGTGCCCTCTGAGGCCAGAGGGGACTTGAGATCCCAGTAACTAGAGTGATAGACACTTGTGAACTGCCATGTGGGTGCTGAGAATCAAACCCAGGTCCTCTGGAAGAGCAGCCAGCGCTGTAAACTGCTGAGCCGTCTCTCCAGCCCCCATTCCTTATTTGATTTTTATTTGTGTGTGTGCATGTGTGTAAGCGTGGGGATCTGTGCAGTTAGAAGAGGGCCTCAGGTCCCCTGGAGTGTGGGTTACAGGCAGTTGTCACCTCGCTGGCACAGGCCCTGGGAACAGAACTCAGGTCCTCTGCAAGAGCAGGATGACTTAATTGCCACGCCAGCTCTTCAGACCTCAGTCTCACTGTCTAGCAGAGGCTGGTCTGGACACAAATTCGGTCCCTAGCAAGGAGCAGGCTGCCTTTCTGAGATAACGAAATGATGACGGGGTGGGGGGCAGAGATACGTGAAGCCGCAGCTCCGAAGAGTTTTAAGCCACACAGGCAGCCTGAGAAGGACAAAGCTTACAAAGGCCCATCCATGGTGGTCAGGGCTCAGGGACACTCCAGGCCACAGGAGGCTTGTGGAGCCCAGCGAGACCACAGACTGGGCGGGGGAGGGGGGGAACAGACTCAGGGTCCGGAGAAGGGCCAGGAGAAGAACAGAGAGAAGCTGGGGCCCCTTAAGATGAGAACCTTGGCCTCAAAACTACCTTTAGTTCACATGGGCCCCCAGGGCCAGCGTGTGGCACAGTGGAGCACTAACAAGGCCGGCTTCCCTGTGGGCACACGGCTGCTCCCAAGCGTCTTCTGGAGTTCTGAAGCCAGACTTGAAAGCATCTGGCTGTTTCCAGCCCAGCTCATAGAGTCAGATCATTTTGTAGACAAAAATACCTGGTACCAGGGGAGGCCATCCGCCATGTCTGGAGTCTGGAGCTGGGGTCACGTCTGGCTTCGGGAGACAAAGGAGGGAAGGCTTGGCCAATGAGAGACCAGCCCAAGGGACCCGACAGCAGAGATTCCAAGGCTATCCAAACAGTCTCATCATCACAGGTGTTCAAGGTCAGAGATGAACCTGTCACTGGAGCCACAGAAGACACTAAAAGGACCCACCACACTCCTGAGTGGGGACGTCCCTAGGCTGAAGCTACCCACGTGGTGGGCATGACCTCAGCAGACTGGGGAGCCAGAACACAAAGGTTTTAGGGAACAGAAGACAACCATGGGACCAGCAGTGGTGGTGACACAGGTCTAGGGATGAGGAGCTCGGAGTTATCCGTGGGAGTCTAGCCTGGGCTACGTGAGACTGTGTCTGAGATATAAATAAATAGGTAAATAGATAGACAGACTGACGGACTAAACACAGAAAGGGACAGAACAAGAATCAAGATGGCTCAGTGAGTGAAGGTTCTTGCTGCCAAGCTCAAACACCTGAGTTTGATCCTGGAACCCACGAATTAGAGAGCAGACTCCCATACCTGGTCTTCTTATCTTCACAAAAACCCCCAAAATAAATAAAATGTAATAAAAAGAAAACTTTTTAAAGAATAAAGAAGCACCTTGGAGCTGGGGACAATCAAGGCCTGGAGCATCTGTGTGACAGAAGCCTCAGGAACAGAGGAGATCAAAGAGGCGACCTGAACATTTTTGAAGAAATAATGGCCCCAGACTTTTCAAGTATAATGGCAGCTATAAAAGCCCAGAGACTGGGCTAACAAGATGGCTTAGAGGCTAAAGGAGCTTGCTGTGCAAGCTGGCAACCTGAGTTTCATCCCCAGAACCACGTAAAGGTGGGTGAAGAAAGCTCCACCAAGTTGGCTCTGACCCCCGCACTGTGCTGGGCACACACGATGAAGTTTATTTTAAAATGTCCTAGAAACTTGGCAAACACAAACACAACATGAACGCTGCCCCGCAGTATACCACCAAACTGTTCAAGAAGGGCCCACCTCCAGCGGTAGGAAAGGGGGTGGGGGAGCTGGGTGGTGGTGGCGACACCTTTAATCCCAGCAGAGGCAGAGGCAGGCAGATCTCTGACTACAAAGCCTAGAAGTAAGTTTAGAGACAGTAAGTGGTCTAGAGAGTAAGTTTCAGGATAGCCAAGGCGACACAGAGAAAACCTGTATTAAAAAACAGACAAACCAGACAGACATGAGGGACACAGACAAGGGTGGTAGCAGAGGGAGGGATGGTCTTGAAGATGCTGTCACTCACAGCTAGGGAGCTCTGTGCAGACAGAAGCAACCGCTGGGCATAGGGGCTGCAAGATGGCTCAGCAGGTAAGGGGCTTGCCGTCAAGCTTGAGGACCTGGGTTCAATTCTCAGAGTCCACACGTGGAAGGAGGACCAGCTCCCACAGCTGTCCTCATACGTATGCCATGGCATGTATACCACAGTAGATAGGTGTAAAAAGACATAAAAATTAGAAACCCAAGTCTGGCCAGGGAGCTGTGACACGGCTGGGGCAGGAATGGAGCCAGGATGGATGGGAAAGGAAGGTCGTGGGACCAGGCCTGCGGTGGGGAGGGGTGGAGCAGGGTCTGCCCAGGCACCAGTTTCTGCAGCTGACCTCAGAAGCAGGGGTTTGTGAGCCTCCCAGGGCGTGCTGAGAACTGTGCTCAGGTCCTCTAGAAGAGCAGCAGGCTCTCCTAGGCACCAAGCCAATCAACTGCCTTGCTTGTGGACAACTGACGGGTCATGGGGCCGGCAGAGGCCCCCTCCACCCAGGAACTCAGGCTCCAGATGGCTTTCCTCTCAAGTGCCATCAAGACAGGCAACTGCCAGGCGGATCTCTGTGAGTTCGAGGCCAGCCTGGTCTACAAGAGCTAGTTCCAGGACAGGAACCAAAAGCTACGGAGAAACCCTGCCTCGAAAATTCAAAAAAAAGACAGGCAGCTGCCAAAGTGGGCGCAGTGTGAGGAGACACATTGGACTGAAGCCACTGGTGCCATCTCTGCCCACAGTTACTGGTCCCACGAGTCACATGATTTAGCCCAACGACAGGCAGGCTGGGAAACGCAGGTAAGTGCCAACAAGTTGCCAAGTGCTGAAGCTGCAGGTTTGTTATCACATCCGTCTGTTGCACGTGTGCATGCTCTACGGCCACACACTCCACAGGGCGCACATTAGTGCTGAAGCTGCGGGTTTGTTGTTACATGCATTTGTTGCACGTGTGCATGCTCTATAGCCACACACTCCACAGGGCACACATTGGGTCTCTTCATCACGTGAGCCCAGGTCTTCAGGCTTGGTGGCAAAGCTCCTTTGTCTACTGATCCATCTCACCCACCCCAGAACTTTAAAATGGAAGAAAAAAAACAAAAGATGCACAGAGGCCTGGAGTACCTGAGGAGTCCCACGATCTGGGGTAAGGGAGGGAAGGTCCAGAACCTTAGAGGAGGGGCCGGGAGACAAAGGACCTGAGGACACACCGCCTACACCGAGACACTTTCCTCCCCAGCGGCTGGCTGTCAAAAGCACTTTCTGTGTCTAGTTTGGTCTGTTTCACAGATGTAGGGGCACGTGCTGAGGCAGGAGGATTGTAAGCACAGGAGTCCCTAATCCTAGCTTCCTTCAGTGGCTGTGAGGAGATACCCTGAGGAAGAGCATCTTACAGGAGAACGGGTTGCGCCACTTAACTCAGAATTCCACGTTATCGTCCATCTTGGTGGGTGGGGGGTGAGGCGGAACCTGAGGCTGCCCTCACACATGAGTCAAGAGCGGAGACGTGGATGCATGTGTGCCTTGCTCAGCAACTCTCCTCCATGCAGTCTAAGGCCAGGTCCAAACTAGGGAATGGTACTACCCAACTGCAGACTGCATCTTCTGGTGTCCAGCGAGGCCATCTAGACCATCCCCTCCGCACAGTGACCACACACACACACATGTGCATGCGCGCGCTCCTGCCTGATCTAGACAATCCTTCACTGAGATGCTATCAAGGTAGTTCTAGGTTGTGCCTCGTGGGCAATCAGAGCCAACCATCACACCTTGTCTTATACAGAACACGGAGCTCAGGGAGGTTAGGGTGCATGACGACGTGGCTGGGGTACGCAGGTGACTGCTCCCCCACTTTCTCAAGAGTTGAGGGGTCAGAAAGGAGAAGCTCCCGGAACTCTACCCTTATATGACATTCCTATGTGGGATGGGGCAGCGGGTGGTCCCGACAGCCCAGTCTCCACCCTGCAGCACCATGCTCGGGCCACCTGATGCTAACCCACCCCCTTCCACTGCTCCTTCACACCATAAAGGCCTCTGCTGGTCTCAGCCAGCTTACCAAAGAAGTGGAAGAATGGTCTAATTTGCATACCCAGGCTCCTCCCTGCCCTTTATTAGGGGCACAGTTGCCATAGCAACTGTCCCTGAAGCCTCTTCTCTGCACTGTTCCTCTCCTTTCCAACGAGCAAGAATTCTATATGCTCACTCAGCTCTGTGTTCAGAACTCGCCTCGATCTTAAGGGTGAAGAAACTAGACCAGAAAGGGAAAGTAATTTGCCCAGGGACACACAGCAAAGTGAGTGGCAGAGCCTTGGCTGGAACTCAGGTCTTCTGACACGCAAGGTGCCCGTCATCCTAGGAGGGGATGGGGCAGGGTGCTGCTGTCTCATGCTTTCCCCAGCTCCCCAAACCCACCCTTAGGACCCTTAAGAGGAAGAACTGTCCCCAGAATGCCCTACAACATACCTGTTTCCTGTCCCTTGCCCTCATGACTGATTTCTCCACGCTGGACTCCAGCACAGTTGCCAGGTGAGCAGTGTGTTTTGGGTGAACGGACTTCAGAGTGGGGGGCATCAAAGCCTGCGTCTGAGCAGTCGTTTGGGGGACGGGAGCATCTGGCTTCAGGCAGCCCCGTCAGGAAGTCGCCCACTGTGACTCAGCTGAGCTACTACTTACCTACGGAAAAAGACCACCCCTCACCACCCTGCCAGAGAGACAACGGCCCCCAGGCAGCACTCGCCTTCCTGGGAGCTGAGTTTTATTTAACTTTTTATTATGGAAAATTTCCAACATCTGCAGAAGAAGTGTGGCAGGAACTCCCACGTGCCCACTCCCAACCCAAGGATCGCCAGTTCGGACAGCGTTTCTGCTCTCCCCTGGGCGGGCTCGAAAATCAGAAGCAAGCCTGTGAGGGAAGCGGGGAGAAGTGGCTGGGGGAAGCCTTCGGGACAGGCTAGGGCAGGGAGTTCCCAGGGAAACTCAGGGTGTTCTGGGGGCAGTGGCACCCAGAAGGCAGGGAGGGCCTTGCCTGGCCAAGGAAGCCAAGCCCTGGTCCCGCCCCAACCCTGCCTCTCCTTGTTTCCTTTCCCCTTCTTCCCCTCTTCACTTGCAATAAAAACATAATTATGGGCTTTGTAAGAAAAAAAGGCAAATTATGGTGACATGCTTTAATTATGAGCCAGCAATGGCGGGCTGAATTCCACGGGCAGGGCCTCAGAGGTTACCTAAAAATAAAGCAAGAGCCTCATTAGATGGTAATTGCTACTTTTGCCAACTGAAGCGAGATCCTGGCGCGTGTGCTTTTCAGCACACAGAGCTGTCTGGGGAACAGGCCCAGTGATGCTCGAGGACCAGGGCAGTACAGGGAGGCTGAGGGAAGCCGGAGAAGCACCGAGTCTACCATGGACGCTCAGTGGACATCTAGACTCGGGGTGGGAGGAGAAAAATGTGGGACCCTCATGAGACTATTACAAAGGTGCTCAGGCCTTTCCTCCAGATTCCTTCAGGCTGAGTCCCTCCTAGGGGCTCCCTTGGCAGGACTGAGGGCAGAGGTGATCCAGGGACAGCTGGCACAATGCTAATCAGTGTCCCCTCCGTCCTAGCTCTGGGCCCCAGGTCCTCTTGCCTCCAATTCCAGAGGCCAAGAAATTGCTGGGAGGACAGACTTCAGGCATTTAGCAGAACCAGCCCTGGAGCAGGAAGGACCCAGGACTCAGGCTGGGCATTCCACAGCTGGTCTCACCGGGTGCAAGAGGAATGGGAAGGTGCCACGTGTCCCTCTCACCTGGCAGTTCTCGGCCCTGGTCCAGGCAGGAGCGGCTGTCTCATCTGTGAACCATAGGCAAGCTTGTAGGTGAGCACTGCTGGTCCCTCTGGCTTCATATACCCCAACGCCTGGCCCACGACAAACCCACAGTACCTCAGCCATCCTGGGCAGCTTCTCTAGGCTGGTGCATATCTGTGCCTGTATGTGTCTCAGCTGCACTGTGTAAGCAATGATAGAAAGGGTACTGCCACTTTACTCTAGGAGAATGTTCCAGGCCCTGCAGGGATTCCATCTTCCCGTCTTTCAATCCCTGTCTTACTGAAATGTAAAATCCCGGGCATCTGTGGCACCTGTCCACTTAGCTGGGGCGTGGGGTGAGGTGTAGACCTGTCCACGTGGCTGGGGCGTGGGGTAGGGTGCAGACCTGTTATTCCAGCTACCCCAGAGGCTGGGGAGACAGAAGTGAGAGTTCAGTGTAGAGCCGATGTTGAGAAAGCTGTCTCAGAACAGAAAACAAAAATGAGGAGACTGCTGAGGTGGGCGGAGCTGAGGTGGGCAGAGCTGAGGTAGGTGGGGCTGAGGTGAGTGGGGCTGAGGTGAGTGGGGCTGAGGTGGGCGGGGCTGATGTGGGCGGGACTGAGGTGGGTGGAGCTCAGTGGTAGCAAGTTTGCCTACCGTGCTACAGGCCTAAGATACCATCCCCAGCGCAGTAAGAAGTGATAATAAAATTTAATGTATAATTTCGGATGGGAGCTGCCAGCTGGCCCAGGAAGAGCTCCCCTCACCTCAGAGCAGGTCACACCAGCATTTCCATCTGCTTCCCTGACCGGTCTTCCAGCAGTGAGCACAGGACCCTACCCACTCCCCATAGAGCTGGCCAGCCTGACTTCCAGGTCACTCCTGCCAGCCTCAGGCCCACAAGCCCCCACTTTTCTGTGCCCACACTCCGGGTTCAGGGGTTCGGAATGCATGCAGCCTACGGCTTCCCTACTAAACACTATGTGGCTGCCACCATTCCCCAGGAATCAACCTTTCAGAGTTTAGTCTGGCTTCCCAAGAATGACTCCCTGGCAAGTGAGTTTCCTTGGCCTGTGCCTGCCCACGGAGTGGGGGGAAAGACTGAGGACTGACCTTGGCCCCTCCCACTATCCCCGCCTGACTGTGAGAGGAACAGAGTCCCCACTGGGTGCTGACACCACTGTAGAACAAGGGCGAGGTTACCACACAAGGGCATGGGCCAAGCTGGCATCGTAGCTCTGGGCCAGGCCTTCTACCTACCTAGCTTTGCACCTCAGAGCTGAGGGGCAAGGTGCCCAGGCTGGGACGCTGTAGGAATCCCCCAGAAGATGCCTTTCTCCCTTCGAATCCAATCCTTCCCCCATACTTACCCGGAAGCTTCTAGAAATCACCTGTGATCCGATAATCTAGGTTTGCCTGACTGAGCTTCATGCTAGCTCAGCGCTGGGCAGAATCTAATCTGAGAGGCCTTGGGGCCAACCTAGCAGACAGCCAGAGGGAGACAGCCCTTCTGACTCTTCCCTTCACCACAGGCCTGGTGATGGGAGGGAGAGGCTGGACACAGCTGGCCCCAGGAGTAAGGGCTCCCATGGGGTTGGGGCCTCAACCGGTGCACCACACGGTGATCTCATCTGCATATCTCACAGGGGTCCCTGCTGCCTCCCTGCCCAGAGACCCTGCATCCCTTGGGCTATGACACATCACATCCCTGTCATCTAGCTATAGGGTGAGAGAGTGGAGAACGGGCAGTGCCAAGAACCAGAGGTGAGTCCCACTGCCAGCTGTGGCCTCATTGTGTTACCAGCTCTCTGACATTCTCCTGGCAGAGCCCAGCCTCTGAGCCGTGCCCCCTGCCTACCTCCCAGCCTGTCAGGGAGTCTCCTGACAACAGCACACACTTGCACACCTGCCGCACACATGTCTGTCCACACCAGACCTGCACACACAACAAAGATGTGGCACAGAGGAGCTGGAGACATCCAGAACAGACAGATATACAGACCCGCAGAGAGTCACGCCCCTGCAGCACCATGTACCAAGACGTGGACCCCGGGTACCTTAGCACCTGGGAGATAGGAAAGTCAGGCTGGATCTGGGGACCCTGGTGCCTGAACCAAATTCTGTAAGGGACACCATTGGCTGGAGGAGCAGAGGCCAGGAGAAATGTTAACAGTAGAATAATCCCCTAGGTACTTACATCTTTGGAGATTTTTTTGTTGCTTGTTTTTTGAGACAAGGTTTCTCTATAGTTTTGGGACCTGTCCTGGAACTCATTCTGTAGACCAGGCTAGCCTTGAACTCACAGAGATCTGCCTGTCTCTGCTTCCTGAGTGCTGGGATTAAAGGCATGCATCACCACCGTCTGGCTGAAATTTCTTATTTTTAGTTATATGTGTATATGTGTAGATTATATGCATGGGTGGATACAGTACCCAAGAACTCCAGGAGAGGGCAGCAGATCCACTGGAACATGGAGCTATGCCTGATGTGAATGCTGGGAACCAAATTTGGGTCTTCTGCAAGACGCCTTGTATCCACCAAGCCATCTCTCCAGCCCCAATTCAGTGTCCTGCTCACTTTATTGGGATACCAACCATCCAGATCTAAAACCACCATGGAGCCTTCCTCCCACCCCACCCCCCGCCAGCAGCCTTCTGAAGTTCCCCTTCAGCCCCCCGGCCACCTGTTGTGGCTGAGCATGGGGCCCTTAGTGGACACACAGGCCAGGTGCAAAACCATGTGTTTATCTTTATTAGAAATGTTCTCGGTATAAAAACAGTCATGCTACACATCGGGGACCATCACCAAACACCCAGGCACTGAACTCCGTGTCGTTGGCAGGAGGGGCAAGGCGGGCAGGCGGGTAGGACACACGGCAGACGGGTAGGGTGGGCGAGCAGGCTGCAGGCCACAGGGACACACAGAGGCCACCAGGAGGACGCAGCACTTTGCAACACACTCAAGATTAGTTTTTGTTTGGGCTTTCTTTGTGTTTCAATCCCTCCCCCCTTTTTTTCTCTTTTGCAACATGAAAGAATTGGCAGATGGAGCAAAGGGAACAAAGGCTGGGAGAGATGAGGCCGATGGGACAGAAAAGCAAAATGCATGAGAAATGACATGGGATGGGGGTGGGGCAACTCAAGGAAGCAGAAGGCATGGGACAGGGCAGAGGGCCGAGGACAGGAGGAGCAGAAAGGAACATACAGAAGCAGAAAGCCCAAACAGACAACACATGCAGAGTGAAAGACGGAAGAGAAACGCAAAGACGGGTAAGGACCAACCAGGGTCACCAACAGGACAGACGGAGGCAGAAGGAGGAGAAAAAGCCGGGGCCAGGATCTCGAGACCAAGCCCCTGTGCCCTGGGGCTGGGCCCCAGCCACTCAGCCTCCTCCGGTTTCCCACCACGGCTTGCCCAGCAGTGATGGCCGGGGATTCTACTGTCCTCAGCACCAAGCCACATTCGTGGATGCCCATGGGGCAGGCAGGACATCAGCAGGGCCCTCAGGAACGGCCCTGGCCCGATGCACCATCCTCAGAGGTTGTGACTCTTCGACCTGCTTGGCTCAGCCCAGCTAGATTGCATGGTTGGTATAAGTGACATAGGTCTGTTTGGTTGCCAGTGCTGGAGAGAGAGCAGAGAGCCAGGCGTCAACACTGCCTCTTCCAAGGCCTCCGTCCCTAGAGGTACTACCCCATGACACTCCACCAGGCTCCCAGCCCAGGCTACCCCAGCTGGGTGCTGGACACACCTGCTCCAAAGCTGCCTCTGTTGCCAGCCCCAACCCCAGGTCCCACACAGGATTCCCCGGCCCATCTTTGCTCAGGTGAGCCACAACCTGGAGCATGCCTCGTCCCCACAATGCCACTCAGATGTGACCCCATCTTTGAGCACCTCCCCACTATAGACCCGTTATCATCTCCTAACTCTATCGTGCCTTGAAATAGTTCTTTGGGTGTATGATGTAATTATAGAATCTTAAAACATTCGCCAAGGGAAATCTTTCAAGGGTTCAGCCCCAAACAGTTGGGAAAAGAAAGCACTCATTGTGTTCGAGTGGTGACCTGGAGGAGTGTGTGGGGCTGAGAGAATCAGTGGTGACCTGGAGTGTGTGGGGCTGAGAGAATCAGTGGTGACCTGGAGTGTGTGGGGCTGAGAGAATCAGTGGTGACCTGGAGGAGTGTGTGGGGCTGAGAGAATCAGTGGCCATCAGAGGGGCCTGCTCTGAGATCTGAGAGGAATCAGCGGCCATCAGAGGGGCCTGCTCTGAGATCTGAGAGGAATCAGCGGCCATCAGAGGAGCCTGCTCTGAAATCTGAGAGGAATCAGCGGCCATCAGAGGGGCCTGCTCTGAGATCTGAGAGGAATCAGCGGCCATCAGAGGGGCCTGCTCTGAGAGGAATCAGTGGCCATCAGAGGGGCCTGCTCTGAGAGGAATCAGTGGCCATCAGAGGGGCCTGCTCTGAGATCTGAGAGGAATCAGCGGCCATCAGAGGGGCCTGCTCTGAGAGGAATCAGCGGCCATCAGAGGGGCCTGCTCTGAGAGGAATCAGCGGCCATCAGAGGGGCCTGCTCTGAGAGGAATCAGTGGCCATCAGAGGGGCCTGCTCTGAGAGGAATCAGCGGCCATCGAGGGACCTTGCTTGGCAAGCAGCTGAGACAAGCAGTGGACTCACAACAACTCTGCCCAAGCAAGACACAGTCCCTGATCCTGGAGACCTGGAGCACCCATCCTGTCCATGCCTGGTGGCCTGTCCCCCTCAGACATTCTCTGCTGTGGTCACTCTGGCCCTCACTCACGTCCTCCATCCCAGTTGAGACTGGCATGGCACCTCTGAGGTCCTCCCACTTCCTGGCCAAAGCATCCTTAGGATCCTGCCCTAGGATCCCAGCCAGATGATGGCATCAGCTCTCGGAGGCATGTGACTCTCCCCTCCCCCACCACGGTACAGACCTCCTGGCCATCCAGGAAGACCAAGGGAAGGTTGCCTCTATGGTCAGAGGCACGAGGAGGCTGGCCACACCCTTGGCTGGTCTTGCCTTGAGATGTTTGGGGTCCCCATCAGGGGCAGTGACAGGGTACTTGGGATGGGGGTGAAAGAGGGTTTGGATGGGAAAAAAATGCTCTCCTCATCTTGGAGCTGCCTCGTTTCCCTTGGGACTCTTTCAGCTCTGAAAGGGAGGCACACCCATGGGGATGGGGTAAGGACACGTGTCCCGGAAGAGAGG